TGACTTAGAATTTTTTTGCCCCTTTCATTTATTAAAAAAAAAAAAATAAATAAATAATTAAATTAAATTAAATTAAATTAAACTAATATCATGTAAACACACACGCACGCACACGCACTCACGCACACACGCACACAAAATTCTAAATTAACAAAAAAAAAAAAAAATCTTTGGAAAAAAAAGTGATTTTCTTTTCAAATCAAAAAAAAAAAAATTATAAAATGTCATGATTTTTCTCTTTTCAATTAAAAAAAATTTTTTAATTTAAAATCCTTCGCGATTAAGTTACAAATTAATCTTACCACTCTTAATAGTAATAATAATAATAATAATAATAATAATAATAGTAGTAGTAATAATAATAATAAATCGCTTTTAAAAAAAAACGGTAAAAAAACATACAGGTATACATATTTAAATATGTAACTATTAAACTTACAAAATTATACAAATAAATATGAAAATAATTATTAATTAATAAATTATTACTTGTGATTTCGATAAGGTTTCGATAAACCTTTAAATAATTTTTCCCCGCCCCCTCCCCCTTCCCCCACCTTTTTGTATTCATCTAATAAATAAACGAGACTAATATATTATATATTATATATTATATATATATATATATATATATATATATATATATATATATATATATATATATATATAATTTTAAAATTTTCAATCAATCGATCGCGTACGCACGTTGAAAAAAAATAAATAAATAAATAAATAATGATAATAAATGATAAAAATACATACATACATATGTATATGTAAAAGTATTATTATTATTATTATTATTACAAGTTATGTAAATATAACTTAATAGCAACGATCTGTAAAATTTAATAAAAATTAAGGTTTAGAGCATTTAAATATTTATTCAACGATTATTATTATTATTATTATTATTATACTATCATATATTTTGATATTATTTCAATTATTATTATTTTCTTATGCACGCTCTTATGCCGCATTTGATTTAAAAATAATAATAATAATAATAATAATAATAATTAACGTTTTAATAAAACCTTTAAAATAAAAAATAAAACTGCGAACGGATCATACATCACGATACCTGTAGAAACCTAAATTATTATTATTATTATTATATAATATAATATAATATAAATTAATATAATTTTTCAATATATTATCAGCATTATAACCACCGGGTCAAGCATTCATTATTAATTAATTAATTAAATGGCACACGTATTTTACAAAAAAAAAAAAAAAAAAACAAAAAAAAAACAAAATGGCCGTTCGGGTAACCTTTATTCTCACATTGACTAAATATTTATTTATGGCACACCAGTTCGGTTTTTCATCTAAGGCTCTATCTACCTATATATTATTATTTAATTAAAAAAAAAAAAAAAAAAAAAAAATCAAACCTTGCAAACAAATCAAAAAAAAAAAATATATATATATATATATATATATATATATATATATATATATATATATATATATATATATTACACATCTCTGTTTAAAAAAAAAAAAAATTTAAATTAAATTTAAATTAAATTAAATTAAATTAATTTAGATTTTTTTTAAATAAAATAAAATAAAATAATATAAATATGACGGTAATGTGAAACTCGCGATACAAACAAAAAACAACAACACAATTACTACGTTATTGCAAATCGTTTAATTTACCGGCAGTATTTTAAAATCAAAATTCAATCAATCAATCAATCAATCATATATATATTAGAGTAGAAACATCGTAATAACTTAAAATAAAAATAAATTAATTATAATAATAATAATAAAAACCAAACTTAATTAAACTACCACCTAATTTTGTGATAAATTCATGTATTAATAATAATAATAATAATAATAATAATAATTGAAAACAGAAAGAAAAATAAACGAGAGAAGAAAACAAAATCCATCATTTCTACCTTACACTACTATTATTATCATTATCATCATCAAAAATAATAATAATAATAATAATAATAATAATAAAAATGATTATGAGTTATTAAACACGGATAATTTAATTTCTTTTTGGCGTTATGTTATTTCATAATGTTTCGAGAGGAGGGGGAGGGAGGTAGGAAGAGAGGGAAGGAGGGAAGGGGAGAGAGATTATTTATATCCAGATTTCGAGCTTTTCTATCAATATTTTTTTTATCCAAACACCGGAGTTTAACATAATATGTATGTTATTTATATTTTACTATTATGAAAATTATGAAAAAACATGGCTGCAATTTCCCCAATTATTCTTTCCTTATGCTCAAAATTCTCAGCTGACTAGAATAATAAAATCATTTTGTTCTCCTGGAAAATTAACGTAAAACAGTGATGCCTTTGTAACCAACTACTCGTGATGTAAAAAAATATTTTTTTAAATTTTACAAGTCATTTTCTTTTTCTACCCGACCACAAAAAAAAAAAAAAAAAAAAAAAAAAACGATTCTAAAAAAAGGGGCCCACCACCATTTAAACATCGCGCATCGGTTCTTATACAATTATTTAGCATATCAAATTGCAACCATGCATAACAATAAAAAAAAAAAAAAAAAGAAAAAGAAAAGAAAATTGTCTCACGATTTCGACTAGAATAATGAGTTCAAATTAATTTGACTATGAATATTATTTATTAACTGCTCGAAACCATTGGTATAAAGTTTGGATGAATGAATGGATGGAGAAAGAAAATAAAGAGATAGAGAGAGAAAGAGAGAATGAAAGAAAGAAACAACAAATCGGCAATAACAAATAGAGAAAGAAAAAAAAGATTAGACTGACAAAAGACCTGAAAAATTTTTCAGCTAAAATGATCATCATCATCATCATCATCATCATCATCATCATCATCATACACAATAAAGTATGATTTAGCTAACTGCTAATTATTTGATGGATTCTGCAACTGTATCTTTTGCACCAGAGATTGATTCTGTAATTGTATTTTAACGGGTTGATTTTGCAATTGAATTTTAACGGGTTGACCTTGTATTTGTAAACTTTGTAGTGACGGCTTTGAGTCATCAATCAAATAAATTTGCTGAGAAGATGGCGGCGCGATTCCTTTGTCCGCCCCTCCTCCCTCTCCACCTCCTCCTCCTCCGACAGAGTTTTTACTTTCTTTGACATCACTACAGACACTCGTCGAATTGTTCGCAGAATCCGAGGCAGCTCCGGTTTCTCCACTAAAATATATAGTCACGTGAGTTTGCTCGTGTTGTTTTAAATTATCCGGACGTGAAAATTTTTTCCCACATATTTCGCATGCTAATTTTTTCCTCGCCATTCCACACTCGTAACGAATGTGACGATTGAGAGTCGATCGTATTTTGTAGCATCGGCCGCACATTGGACAAGCATGAGTCTTGGGACTATCATTCATCGTGTCGTCTAATTTTAACATCAGCAACCGCTCATATTCCAGCATGGCGTTTTCCTTAGCAGACAAGTACGGCAAGTAGTGTGGCATTGACCGCACTGTAATTACATTAGTTCAAAACCGGGGTCAAACTCTATCATCCAATTTTTCATATATATATATATTTTAATATAAATAAATTTCGGGGTAAAGAGGAGAAAATAAAATAATAATAATAATAAATTAGATCTAGAATAGCTACATAAACAAATTAGGAATCGAACCGAATAGGCAATGAGGGGGGGGGCGAGGGGCGAGAGCGGGAAATAAAAACATAGAAAAAAAAAAAAAAAAAAAAACTTTTTAACTATAGAAAACAGAAAGCACCTTAATGAATGAAAACTTACCCGATAATACAATCATCTGGACTAATAATATAACAACAAGTTTTTGAGCTTTTCAACTCAATAAACTCGTGAGTGAAACGACGAGTACATACAAAAACTTTTCCAAAAACTCCCTCGATGTAAATACGTACGTATATATATATAATACTTAAAAACGTGAAAATCAGCAAGTTGTCGTAATAAATAAATAAATAAATAAATTTACAAATACCTCCTATCTTTCCTGCTTTTCACGTTAATAAGATTTATTTATATATATTTTAAATAATATTGATTGGGTTTTTGGCCCTTTTTTTTTTTTTTTTTTTTTTTTTTGATAAAAAATCAATGCCCCACTAAATGAAATACATGGTGCTAGGGGTACGTACAACTAAACCCAACCCCCATCAAATTAAATTATAAAATGATAACAAAAAAAAAAAAAAAAAAAAATGATAATGATAATATAAAATAATAATAATAATAATAATAATAATAAACAAACGATACGCAAGCCATTCGGCCAAATCAACAAATATGTAAATAAATGTAACATGCAACACTAATTATAATAATAATAAAAAAAAAAAAAAAAAATTATTTAAAAAAAAAAATTCTCTCGTCACGGTGCATTTTTTTTTTTTTTTTTTTTTTCAAAACTTAAAATTAATTATTATTATTATGTATCACTTATTTAATAAAAAACCTTTTTTTTTAAATTAATAATAATGAAATAAAGCAGCAGCAGCAATTTTTTTCCAATTTATTAATATTAATTTTTTTTTTTTTTTTTTTTTTAAATGATGATTTATTAAATATAAACCGATGCTATTATTATTATTAAAAAAATTTATGATGGGAAATATTATTATTAATAACATAACAACAACAACAACAAAAAAAATTAACCCCAAAAAAAAAAAAAGCAAATGAAAATCTTTTTTTTTTTTTTTTTTTTTCTTCCTTCTGTAATTTTTATAAAACTTACTTTTCTTTCTATTCATTTCGAGATATATATCTTAATATAATAATAATAATAATATAATAATAATATTACAAATAAAATTAAATTAAACAATAATTTTCATTGGCAAACCCCTGTGCAACCACACATTTCAATATAACTATCTTCAAAAAAAAAAAAAAAAAAAAAAAATCATTATTATTATTATTATTAAATAATTTCATCATGTAACAAAAAAATTTTTTACACTTATTAATAATGTATTCACCACGGGCAAATTTAATAATAATAATAATAATAATAATAATAATAATAATAATAATAATAATAATAATAATAATAATAATAATAATAATAATAATAATGCAAAGGCTTAAACAAATATAAACACTTTTAAGTTTATAATAATAATAATAATAATAATTTTTGTATATTTCGACTTGTGCGAAAAATTAGTTGGGGGGGGTAAGATTTGTACACGAATAAAAAAAGAGAAAATGGTAGGGGCACACACTACTCAACTACTACCACTTTTACCCAATTTCATTTATGTAAATAATAAACGTCGTCTTTTTGTTTTTGTTTTAAATCAAAACAAATTTTGACAATATATACAATTTACACAATTTTCATTTTTTCAAATACATTTTTTTTTTTTTTTATAGTATTTGATGAAAGTTGATTATACAAAACCTGAAAAAATAAATTTTTATTTTTTTTTATCAAAAATAGAGGGTTAGAGTTATTAAAAAAAAAAAAAACCTTAAAAATACACTCAACAATGTTCATATAATTTTGGAATCAAAATTTAATAAATAAATAAATAAAAATGAAAAACTCATGTCGAAACGTGTATGTATTGGCAATTACTCAATTCGAGAGGCTGAGGGAGGAAAATTAAAATTAAAAAAGCAACCACGAAAAAAATTCAAACCCTCTAACAATGATAAATCCTCCTTAAAACGAACCAACGCTACCTAAACTCAATCCAGAAAATAACAGAAAAAACTGGCAACCCAGCAAAATTATAACAATAAATAGTTTTTATTATAAACAAAAACAAAATTATACTAAATCATCATCACGCGGCAACAACAATGAAAAAAAAAAAAACAAAAAATTGCAATTAGCAAAAAAAAAAAAAAAAAAAAAAAAACAAATCAAAACAGCAAAAATTTAAGCTTCAAAGAAAAAAAATACTTTTAAAAAAAGCAAAAAAAAAAAAAAATTTGCGCCGAAAAAAAAAAAAAAAAATAATAATAATAATAATAATAAATGCATTTATATAAAACTTTTTGAGGGAGGAGGAGGGGGACAAAAAACAATTAACAAAATCATCAATGAAACTATACAATTTAAATAATAAAAAAAAAAAAAAATGAAACATTTTTTCCCCATTTACGGAAAAACTAAAATCGATTATGCTTACTACGCCAATAATAATAATAATAATAATAATAATAATAATAATAATAATAATAATAATAATAATAATAATAATAATAATAATAAGGTTTACACAATACACAAAAAAAAAAAAAAAAAACTATTATTTTCTGCAAGTTAAAAAAAAAAACAAAAAAGAGAAGAAACTCGTAAAAAAAAAGATTAAAATACAAATTCGATTGAGGATGCTAAACAGACAATTTAGGCACCTAAAGACAAATACCTGGGACTTTACTTATAAAATATAAATAATAATAACAATAAAATATTCAATTTTAAATATTTGACAACATGTATCGAAACGGCAAAAACTGAAAAAAGTAAAACGAAAAAAAAAAAAAATTATAAAAGCAAAACGCCGTGAAAAAAAATGACCGGAAACCAAATGTCAAAGATCATTCGAATAGAATTTAATTATTTTCAATTTAATTTAAAAAAGAAAAACCAATTTCCCTTCTTTGAAATATATATATATTGTTTAAAAAAGTATTATTATTATTATCTTTCAAACAAATTTAATTTTAAAAAACATTATTTTAGTAAAAACGTTTAAAAAAAAAAAAATGAAAAAAACTTAACAAAACAAGACAAAAATCCAAAGATAAAACTCAAATATAAATTCATATGAAAATCTATGCAACATTTTTTTTTTTTAAATTTTAAAGATTTTAACCGAAAAAATTACATTTGAATCAAACTTCAAATTTGTAAGAAGCAATAAAAGAAAATCAACGAATTCGCCTGCGATTCTCCCCAGAAAACAAATAAATAAATAAATTATGTACATAAACCCATGTTCATTTGTTTAAAACAATTCAGTGAGAAATTCTGCAAAACTTTACTTTAACAAATACAAAACATTTAATAAACGAAACTAAAATCGATTGGGAATCGATATTTCTTATATTCCAATCAATCAATCAATCGGAAATGAATTTAACAATTCATTCACCCCATAACGAAAAAACACACAAAATTGTCCACAAAACAATTTTTTTTTTAAAAAAGAAAACAAAAAACCTCCATATTAATATCTCAACTCATTTCGCTAATAAACGCCCGACGACTTCATCATCATCATCATCAAATTGATTTCTTCTTCTCCTCTCTCTCTCTCTCTTCCAGCTCATAAAAATTTCAAATTTCAAACAAAAAAAAAAAAAAAAAGTTGTAAATAAAGACTTTGAAAAAACAATAAACGGTTTGGTCAAATCCTAACAAAAACCATTTCAACAAAAATCATTAATTTGGCAAAAAAAAAAAATAAAATTTCTAAATATTACCCGTAGCGAAGTAGAGAGAGAGAGGAAATAAAAAGAAAAAGAAAATGGCCGACCACGAGAACAAGCGTATAATAATAATAATAATTTAAACAAAGATTAAACAATGGGTAGGTAGGTAGGTAGGTAGGTAGGTACACACACCAAAGTTGGGGGCACCCCTCGGTTTTGTTTTGTTTTCCTTTTCCCCTCCCCATCCACGATTTTAAAGACTTTTAGAAAAAGGATGGGGTGGGGGAGGGGAGAGGGGAAAGAGAGAAAAAAAAAAGATTACTTATGATGATGAAAATAACAATGTCACGAATTGCCAACCCAATGTGAAACCCATTATTTTGTTCGATGAACCCTTTAGAAAAAATGAACCATCTTTTTCTTTAAAAAAAACCTTTCGGAGAATTTATGAACCAAAATCTTTGTTATTCATTTTCCCCCCCCCTTTTTTTTTTTCAGGTTCATCATCATCATCAAACAGTTTAAATTTTTTTTTTTAAATTCCACTAACGCTTCAATTTCCTAAACGCAAATTTTTTTTTTTAGGTATACATACATTCGGTTGAACGTCACACACTACTTAATTTTTCTTCAATTCATTTCAAGCACATTCACATATCGTAAATTTTACCACAGTTCACAAACCTATTCGAAATCGCAAGACTCGTTAATTATTCTTCTAATGTCACGTCATCAAATTATTTTCAAATATTAAAAAATTATTTAAAAAAAAAAAAAAAGACGAAAAAACCGACGAAATAGAAAAAAAAAAAAAAAAAAACCGTTCGTTTCGACAAATATTTTTCTAAAAATTAACATACCGGATCTATTAGAAACAGTTTTCTAAAACAATAATAATAATAATAATAATAAATTTTTTTTGTGAATTGATTAAAAACAAAACAAAGCCCCCCCTACCCCCTTTTTTTTTTTAATATTAGAAAAAGAAAATTTTAAGCTTCGATATTTGATTACAATCACATCAAGATGTGCAAATGGACACAACACCATAATAACGTTTAAGATGATACAACGAACCTGGAAAAAGAAAAAAAAAAAAGAAAAAAGCTGTGCATTTGTTATTCTCTCAGGAAAATTTTCGAAAAGTTCAAAAACCTTTGACTATGAAATAATACAAACGATTCCCCCATTACGACCAAAATTTTTTTAAACACAAAATCAACGTCTTAAAAATTTGAGGAAAAAAAAAAAAAAAAAACATTTACACCATTTTATCAAAAGTTTTGCAACAATCAACAACGACAACAACAACAACAACAACAAACAAATTTTTTCACACAATCAAAAACAAATCAATCAATCAGAACAAAAAATGATAATAATTTTAATATCACT